TTGATTGTATGGTTGACAAGCAAGGAATTCCCCAAAGAACGGTTAGTGGGTCTATGCAGGATCTCTGCCGAGCTAGAAGATAAGACGGATATAATAGCCGACTTATGACAATCATATACGATATATGCCGACTATAATTCTTTGGCACTACGTACGATGATCACCCCCTTGGATGAGCATTATGCGTCTCGCTAAAGAGGCACCTAAGAGCTTACTAAGCACACCATATATTCAATGCCTATACTGACCTCAGAGGAAAGTGTAATCCCGAAGGCTACATGGTCCTTAGCTTATACTATGTGGAACTCGTCTTAGCATTCTTTGCAATTGGGGAGGGAGTTCCCCCTATGCTATAGTCACACCTCCCCTTAATTAGAAAAGTAGTCACGGCTCCTTTATCTATAAAGTAAAAATGATCATATATACGGTAGACTGGTCTTATCTAAGGGAACCCTGAATTAGAAGGGAGAGGAGGATCCTGGGAACATGACTCCCATCGCTCGGCAAGAATAATATTAGATGATACTGTTCTTTGCAAATAGAATAGATTAGGGGCGTTGACAATTTCGAGAGGACTACGTGTACGCTAAGACTCTAGACATCTGACTCCTAGCAGGGTAACATCTATCAGGGTAACATCTATCACTCTAGGGCAAAATACCAGACAATGTTAAAGATCGAAGGGTCACCCTGTAGGATACTTCAACCTAGAAAGTATTTAGAAGGGCTATGTAGATGCGCTAGGGCCATCCTAAAGATTGTCTGACCAAGGCTTTGTCCTGAAGATCTTTCGGTTCTGTATAAATAGGAGAATACTCAGCCTGCCTAAGCTGAGGTATAAAAACCTACGCTAGTGTCCAGTTTTGACATCTTCGTTCTCATCGCAACCATCTGTCTATCAACTGTCATTGTCTTTGATAAAACGCAGCAACCAGCCCTAAATACTCTTTCTTCCTGAATTTCACACCCAAACAAGTACAATCTTCAACAAGATGTATTTCACTGTCGCTGGACTCCTTACACTTGCTATGGCGGTGGCTGCTACGCCAGCAGCGGTTCAAGTCTCGAATAACCGCCGCTCCGCATCTGTTCCGAGCAAACAGTTGTGGCATGCCACTCCTGAGAAAGGTGTTGATTTCAACCAGTTGCAGCAAAAGTGCGGCAATCTGACTGTTTCTTGCTGCAACCAGGTCAATATTCAGAACAATGGAAACAAGGGAGTGACAAGTGGCCTAACCACCGAAGTCCTTGATGCACTTGCCGGCGTTCTCCCAGGCTATGCAAACTCTGCCTGTGCCCCAGCAAGTTCGGCGGCGGATGGTCTTATTGTGATCATCACAGATGCTCTTACTGGCCAGCGTATGTGTACAATGTGCCCAGAACAACCTATGTCATTTACTTACATTTTGAGTGAACAGCTACCACGCCTCAGAACTTTTGTACTGGCGCCACCTATGCATGCTGCCCCGGAAAAGGTGGAGAAGTAAGCAATTGCATATTCCTAGGGACCTTATTACATACTGACAGAACTCACGCAACTAGTGCAATGCTATCTCGGGTGCCCCAACCGCTAGCTCTGACTCTACCTAGGGTGCACTGCCCATGTCCATCCATGACCCATCCTCTCTCCTCTTCTAGGGCTGCAGAAGAGCTTGAATTGTTCCACTTTGTGCTGCTTTTAGCTCGTTTACAGAGGATATCAGTGGCATATTATGCCACTATCGGTCGTGTAATATCTGTTTTGTTCGGGGAATCTTTCGCTGATTTGGCCACACTTACGTGGTTGTCCACTCTTTTTATTTACCAAATTTGTGTTTGTTCTGTGCGCTCTTCCTAATAGGTTATAGTCGAAGTCGTCAGTTCAGACCAATACAGCTTTATATCTTTTATCTACACGAACAGTATATGTTGTGCCTAGTCATACGATATCCCCTCCAATGAAAGAGGTAGCTCCCGAGTCAATTCTTCTTCAACAGGCTGATGCTTCGTGTGTTGCAGAGAGCTAGGTGGCTCTAGCGCACATGACACGGGGACCCTTCGGTCGGTGCTTAGGGGTGAAATAGGTACCCGCGAGACATGATCACTTGGTTTTTTTGGGCTGGCTATTTTTTGTCTAGGTGTTACAAGTACTACCTAGGCGCACCGCGTGGATGATGGTGTTTGCTAATTCATGTTCTGACTGCCTAGATGAAGAACCCCGTAATTTCTCTATGATAGCACACACTTTCTCTTCAAAATTGCGGTATATATTGGCTGGCTGCCTAGAGAGTTTGCTGGTTAGATTGTGCCGGCGCTTGTTGGTTGGTCGACGAAAGGGTATTCGGTAGTGAATAGTTAGGGAGCGAGTTGGTACCAAATGACCCCATCTGCCCGTTATGGACCGACCAGGACCCTTGTAGCACATCAGAAGCAGATAAGCCAGAAAATGCAAACCTATCTTTTTCCGCCTCTATCTTCTTGTCGAGTTGGCTCTGCGCAGAATGGAACTTGCCGCTGGCCTCTAGTAGTACGGGCTACAAATTATCACCTGCCGTGCAACAAACCTGTGCGACGTCAAAATGTTGTTTCAGACTGGATATCTAGAACTCGAGTGTTTGAACCTTGGCCATCTGGTCATTGGTGTCACTTAGCTGGCGAATCTTTGCCGTCGCTTAGGTGTTGTCTGCTTCTAGTCCCTGTATGAATCTTAAAAGCTCATCCCGCTCGCTATCAGCGTCCTTGAAACCCTATAAGCATTGTCGACGAACAATCTTCCAGTACTTTTGTTTCGGGGTCTTCGCTATCAGGGAGGGGATCTAGATTCCACATTCGGGTTGAGTATACGTGCATTCACGGGACAGTGATGGCAGGACGTACCAATGATGTATAAAGGTTTGCGCCTCGAGTGTCAGACAAAGGGCCATCATGGTCGGCGATAGTTAGTCGTCGAGTACGTTTGGGAGCAATGTCTAACTCGGAACTGCCCTAACCAGTACCGGTGGGAGCTTGGGCTGCCGTTGTGCGGGAAGGCATATCGAACGTCAACACTTTGAAAGGGTTTTCTTCGCAAGAAGGAGGGACTCTTTGTTCAGCATTGACCGTTCGGGTGGATAATGTGAGCTTTTATAGGTCTCTAGCGTACAAGCTAGTATCAATCAATCAATCAATCAATCAATCAATCAATCAAAGTTCTATTAACCTGTTGGAGCCTAACTAGTATGGTACTGGCTATGCAGGCGCTTCTTTCCAGTTGAAGCAAGAACTCGTGTCCGTACGCCTGATCATGCTCCAGTACAAAAAGTGAGGCTGGTTCTCAAAGAGGGGAAGCACCAGCCCATTACATGTAAGCCAAACCCATAATAAAAGCCCGCAAATACGTCGAAAAAGCCCAGTACAAATGAAAATTCAATGCCAGTGATGCATTGAATACAAAAATGAATTCGTGGATGCACCTCCACCTCTCCAATGTCCTCTCCCTCTCACGAGACATGTACACACTTCCGCATCAAGATCCCAGCCAACTGGTACCGCTGCAAGATCAAACCCCGTTCTCCGACATCCTCACTTCAGCCTCGATTGCTGATTATCGTTGTTCAGTGCAGTCAGGCAGCGTGTATTCGAATAGCTGAGTGAGGCTCTCTCCTTAAACGTGGTGGCAAGCGGTGGTGAGTACCCAGCGTCTTCGGGACTCTGCTCCATAACCTCTAGGTTCAGGTCTTCAGCTTCATCCTCGGACTCTTCCTGATCAGCATGTTGAAACTGAGCAAGAAGGCCGGTTCGATGCATAAATTGGGCAACGTAGCGGGTTGCCAGCGGGTCTGACACAATAGTGTCATAGTCTAGTCCTTTCACTCCAGCTTTGTGTAGCTGGTCAAATAGACGTCTTCTCAGGTCTCCGAAGGTCTGACATTCAAGCAAGACGTGCTTCGGTGTCTGGGATGAGCCCTCTCCGCAGGGGCATTTATCCGAATCCACTTCATTGATCTTATACAAGAAGTGCCGGAGCGCAATACGCATCGAGCGCATTTGTATCATGATCGATGACCGTGGTTTCGAAAGTCATTCGTATAAGCGTAGGGTCTTCTTGCTTGGCCACTCCACCAATCGCTTTGTGGGCTGAGCGGTCCTCTCGCTCTCCCACTGCTTCTTCCAGCGGTCCTGGATCCGCTCCCGGACCATTCTCTTGGCAGCCGCAGCGAGCCGGATCGTTGGTTGATCCGCTCCGGTACCGCCCCCGCCGGTCGCACCTCCCGCAACCTCGAGTGCCACGTATTTTGCACTGCTATCCGCAGCTTCATTGCCAGGCACCCCAACGTGGGCGGGGATCCAGCGGAGGGTGATGTTCGTTGATTGCGACTGAATGGTCCGTACATGTTCATAAATGCAGTTGAGAACGTACTGGCCCGATGGTCGCTGTGGGTTTTGGACCGCCTGGATGGCGGCCTGGCTGTCGGAGAGAATGATCACCTCTCGAGCCGTATTGCGTTTTGTTCCGTTAACCATGTTGGCCTTGTTGTCGCGTATGGCCCTGTCCAAAGCCATTTCGATGCCGCTGAGCTCGGCAGCGTACACCGTGGACTGGCCCTCCGTGCCGAGATGTCTGCGGTCGGAGATGACGGTGTCACCGTCATGGATGTTAACGGCAGCTGCACCAATATGGCCTTCGAAGCCACTGCCGTCGGTGTATATCAAGGAAGCCGTGTCTTTCTTGGTCCTCTTATCTTTGAGAGTAGTTTCATGGGTTGCCAATGCAGCCTCCGAGGGTTCAATGAAGCAAGAGATTCGTCTCTCCGAAGGTGGCAGTACAAATGCAACTCTTTCCTCCCATTTCTCCGCACAGTCCGTCCCATTTGTCTTGTATTTGCTCATTTTGAGCGGTCCTTTCTTCCAAACCAATGCCTCTAGGGGTGTCCATCCACCTTCGCGACGTTCAGCCGGCTTCCTAGCTATCTTTGCCGAACGGGGACAGGCCCATTGAGGTCCAGTGAAAATGCGGATCGCATTCTTCGATAGTCTGTTGTAGTCGGAGCTTCATGGGTAGCAAGCAAAGCTCAATGTCGAGGGCAGCCGTGGAAATGCTTTTAAACGCACCACTGATCAAGACAGCCGCACGTTTCTGCAATTTCACTAGCTCATTGACTAGCCGCGCCATTTCCCAGGCAGGCATCTTACGCGCAGCAGGGCAATACCAGGCAGAGATACCCCATAGGGCTTGTGGCAGAATAACAGTGGGCCTTACTGCCTGTCTATTGCCTCTCGTGGCCGTATTGGTAGTGTCAATTTCTGGGTGTTTTCTCTTCATTCGGTTCTCCTTGCCGGGAGCAGTCGGTTTGTTGGCCTTCCTCGCCACCGACCCGTTGCTGTCTATCTCGGCAAGAGCTGATGATGATGGCGGGTTCCACGATACTTCCGAGTCCCCCTCCGTTGCCGTTTGGGCGTGTCTTTGGAGTGGTAATTTTTCACCACCAATGAATGGAGAATTGACTCGGGAGCTACCTCTTTCATTGGAGGGGATATCGTATGACTAGGCACAACATATACTGTTCGTGTAGATAAAAGATATAAAGCTGTATTGGTCTGAACTGACGACTTCGACTATAACCTATTAGGAAGAGCGCACAGAACAAACACAAATTTGGTAAATAAAAAGAGTGGACAACCACGTAAGTGTGGCCAAATCAGCGAAAGATTCCCCGAACAAAACAGATATTACACGACCGATAGTGGCATAATATGCCACTGATATCCTCTGTAAACGAGCTAAAAGCAGCACAAAGTGGAACAATTCAAGCTCTTCTGCAGCCCTAGAAGAGGAGAGAGGATGGGTCATGGATGGACATGGGCAGTGCACCCTAGGTAGAGTCAGAGCTAGCGGTTGGGGCACCCGAGATAGCATTGCACTAGTTGCGTGAGTTCTGTCAGTATGTAATAAGGTCCCTAGGAATATGCAATTGCTTACTTCTCCACCTTTTCCGGGGCAGCATGCATAGGTGGCGCCAGTACAAAAGTTCTGAGGCGTGGTAGCTGTTCACTCAAAATGTAAGTAAATGACATAGGTTGTTCTGGGCACATTGTACACATACGCTGGCCAGTAAGAGCATCTGTGATGATCACAATAAGACCATCCGCCGCCGAACTTGCTGGGGCACAGGCAGAGTTTGCATAGCCTGGGAGAACGCCGGCAAGTGCATCAAGGACTTCGGTGGTTAGGCCACTTGTCACTCCCTTGTTTCCATTGTTCTGAATATTGACCTGGTTGCAGCAAGAAACAGTCAGATTGCCGCACTTTTGCTGCAACTGGTTGAAATCAACACCTTTCTCAGGAGTGGCATGCCACAACTGTTTGCTCGGAACAGATGCGGAGCGGCGGTTATTCGAGACTTGAACCGCTGCTGGCGTAGCAGCCACCGCCATAGCAAGTGTAAGGAGTCCAGCGACAGTGAAATACATCTTGTTGAAGATTGTACTTGTTTGGGTGTGAAATTCAGGAAGAAAGAGTATTTAGGGCTGGTTGCTGCGTTTTATCAAAGACAATGACAGTTGATAGACAGATGGTTGCGATGAGAACGAAGATGTCAAAACTGGACACTAGCGTAGGTTTTTATACCTCAGCTTAGGCAGGCTGAGTATTCTCCTATTTATACAGAACCGAAAGATCTTCAGGACAAAGCCTTGGTCAGACAATCTTTAGGATGGCCCTAGCGCATCTACATAGCCCTTCTAAATACTTTCTAGGTTGAAGTATCCTACAGGGTGACCCTTCGATCTTTAACATTGTCTGGTATTTTGCCCTAGAGTGATAGATGTTACCCTGATAGATGTTACCCTGCTAGGAGTCAGATGTCTAGAGTCTTAGCGTACACGTAGTCCTCTCGAAATTGTCAACGCCCCTAATCTATTCTATTTGCAAAGAACAGTATCATCTAATATTATTCTTGCCGAGCGATGGGAGTCATGTTCCCAGGATCCTCCTCTCCCTTCTAATTCAGGGTTCCCTTAGATAAGACCAGTCTACCGTATATATGATCATTTTTACTTTATAGATAAAGGAGCCGTGACTACTTTTCTAATTAAGGGGAGGTGTGACTATAGCATAGGGGGAACTCCCTCCCCAATTGCAAAGAATGCTAAGACGAGTTCCACATAGTATAAGCTAAGGACCATGTAGCCTTCGGGATTACACTTTCCTCTGAGGTCAGTATAGGCATTGAATATATGGTGTGCTTAGTAAGCTCTTAGGTGCCTCTTTAGCGAGACGCATAATGCTCATCCAAGGGGGTGATCATCGTACGTAGTGCCAAAGAATTATAGTCGGCATATATCGTATATGATTGTCATAAGTCGGCTATTATATCCGTCTTATCTTCTAGCTCGGCAGAGATCCTGCATAGACCCACTAACCGTTCTTTGGGGAATTCCTTGCTTGTCAACCATACAATCAA